AATTTTCATCTGCAACAATTCCTGCATGGGCCAAAAATAGGTCCTTCAAAACACTCAGTTCCTTTGTTAAAATTTGAACTTTTTGTTCAAGCATTTCGTTTTCTTGTCTTAGTCGATTTACTTTAGCCATAGTTTCTTTAGCTTTCTGGCGACTTTTGGTTCGGCTTTTTTGTACAGCTGTGTTATTTCTGCACCTCCGCTTTCTATATTCATCACTATCTCTGGTCACTGACTGTCGCTTTCTCCCACTTTTGCCTTCCCCATCAGAGCCATCTGTATTACTGTCATTCATTTTGCGAGGGGCCATACTTTAAAATTTGCTGCTGCCGAAGCTATGGTTTTAAATCGACTAGGAAGGAGGCAAGTGCACTTCTGCAAAATAAGCAATCAGAATATTAAAGAAAAATCTCCTTATTGCAAGTACTTCTTTAGGCTTCAGATGTTATAGAAATTATTAATTAGACCTTCATTTACATGACAAGTTCAAAATCAACTCTGTAGACCCTCGGATGGCATCATTATATAAGATTTGGATAAAGAGCTGCTCATTCTTGCCATAGCAGCTCAAAAATAGATAACGAAAAATGAATATATTGAAAATTTCATTCAAAGTATGTCATTCTGAGCGAAGTTAGTAGTGTTGGAACATGTACATGTAGTGTCAGTACTAAACAAACGAGAATAAGTCTCAATTATCCCTTTTATAGTCTCAATTATCCATTTTATTGTTAAAATTTTAAATCTTGTGGCCGTTTTAATCCATTTAAATCTCTGCCATCTTATGGTCCATAGTATTGATTATGGGCTTGTCATGTTAAGTTAATAGGCAGATTTAGATCTCAAATAATGCATTTTTAATCTTGTATAAACTGTGTGCAATCTTTGAAATGTTTCATCTTTAATTAAAGATCCATTATGTAAGGGCAAAATCTGCCTACTCCAATCTTTGAAATGTTTCATCTTTAATTAAAATTAATAAACTATCAATTAGACATCTGTTCACATAACAAGCCCATAACTAACTCACTAGACCATCGAATGGTCACGATTTTTAATGGATTGAAACACAATCATCATTTAATAATGAATAATCAAGACTTTGTTTATTATCGTAACAAAGGTACCAATAAAAATCAAGACAATGCTATTCTTATCAAAGCTTCAAACACTGATAACTTTACTCAGAAGGGGATCACGTGGCTAAGTGGGTAAGACGCTAGCTCGCTAGCCTGGAGGTCGGGTGTTCGATCCCTGCATTGGCCGAGAAAGTTCATCCAGATTTTCCGGCGTGGTTCTCCCTTGTCAGTGATGCAGGACGGAGGGGCTGACAAGGAAAGCTGTCTAGTCGTTCGGATGGGACGAAAACCCGAGGTCCCGTGTACACATTGGCGTGCACGTAAAAGATCCCTTGGCAGTTGGAATTCGATATAAGAGTAGGCTGTAGTGCCGCTCTCCGGGCAAAATTTCCCTCATAGCACACATATGCCCGTCTTCATTAGCCCAGGTTAGGAGCAGAACAGTACAACGTTAAACTCCATTTCATTTCATTTCTTTACTCAGAATAAAGTAATTTGACTGAAATTTTCAATTTATTCCTATTTCATTATCTATTTTTAATTATAGCAAGAATTGTCAGATCTTTATCTAAATCTTACATAATGCATACTTAAAATAACTTAATAAATTTATACAACATGGTCAAGTTAAGAGAGAATTGTCTATCAATGTAAAGAAGCAGTCAAGTGACATGTGCAGTAACTGAGTAAGTAGCCATTCAGTGAAGCGACATTTTACACTTTACACTATTAGGTTGGTCCACAGCAGGGGCGGATTGGGCCATCGGGCGGATTGGGCGATCGCCCGAAGGGCCGGTCGGAAAAAAATGAAAAAACCTTTTTCTGGTGAACATTATATGGGGTGGGGGGGATATTGGACCAGCCATGGAGCGATGGTGATCATGTTGTATGTGGCCGGTGGCTTTAACGGGCCGCCACGTCATCACAGGAGCCTGGAATGGGCTGGTATAATAGACTTTCTGGGCCGGGTGTGGGCCGGAATTCGGAATCCTGCATAAAAAGACGTTATGATAATTTCACAGGTTGATGGTTGTAAGTTACTTGCAGGTCGATGTTTAGGCCTAAATTAATCGATATATGAGATATATTATTTGACAGAGATTATAATCAGATATGCCACCAAATCGCATATTTGGGGTTTATTTTTCAAAATTTTCCAGGGCAAGAGCGGTCAGTAAAAGGGGCCGCTCCGACACGGGAGCCCGGGCCGGTTCCCGGCCCCAATCCGCCCCTGGTCCACAGTCTCAAATGTGGTGCTAATGAAAGTTGAAAAATTCTTGAATGTAAAATGCTCAAATTCTCAAATGATCACATGCAGCAAACATTCACTGAAAATAGGCATGCAAATGACATGGTACAATAAATCCACTTATTTTACGATGAGGTCCGAAAAAATATACATTGTACCTTCTTTCTTTACCTGTTTGAATTGAAAAATACTTTATACGAACTGGATAATTTATTTTACCACAGAGACATGCTAATAATGCAAAGTAGGCAACTAAACAAAAGGTATCACGATAAAGTAAAAGTATATCTCAGTCTAGTTACTTTAATAACAGATTCTTATCGGCTTTGGGCTCTATCCGTTACTGCCTCATCCTATAGATAACTAAGATGCAAATAAGACTTTTCCCCATTCTTGGTTCTAAGGCTGTTTTGGAATCCTTACTGTCTATTTTTCACCGTGATTCTTCTTTGTTCGCCAAAATAAATCATTTCTTGTCACATCCGACACAAATTTATAATAATCCAACACTATTTTCATGTAAAATTTAGCGATCCAAAAACACAAACAAAATGATCCGCCATTGTGAAACTCACTCCTGTGCAGACTCAAGGTCATGGGTTCATAGCACTCGGCAAACCTCAGCAGATTCCAGTACCCTACATCAAGCCTCGGCTGTATGACGAAGTCCACCATCGGAACTACTTTCAAGTTCCCAGATTAAAAGCGGCAAGTTTTCCTAATAAGTAAACCGGTGCCGCATCGCAATTGTATAGGCGTAGGTACATATCATATACCGTCATACAGCTAGATGTAGAGTAATGGAATCTGCCAAGGTTTGCCGAGTGGGGTTCATAGCTGCGCTCAGTCAATATTCCAAATTTAGGAATGGAATGTTACTGTTAACGAAAATTCTTGCTGTACTTCATACGGACAAAACTTTCAATATTGATACTACTAAAATTTATGTATTCAACATACATACACAATTATTAGATAAAATCGATTAATAGGCCTACAAGAATTTTCCTTCACAATAACATTCCATTCCAAACAAAACTGACACAGTTATATGGGACAACAATCACTGGTTAATTATACACTGTATTCCATTCCAAACTTTTGAAATATTAGCTGAGTGCAGGTTTGAGTTTCACAATGGGGGATCATTTCAAACAAATTTTATTAGTGTTTTTGGATTGCTAAATTCTACATGAAAATAGTGTTGGATTGTTATAAATTTGTGTCGGATGTGGCAAGAAAGAAGAATCACAGTAAAAATAGACAGTACGTGTAAGGATTCCAAAATATCCTTAGAACCGAGATGGAGAAAATTCTTATTTGCATCTTAGTAATCTATAGGATGAGGCAGTAAGGATAGAGGCCAAAGTCAATAATATTCTGTTAATTTTACTAAAGTAGTGCCTAATTATTATTAATCTCAGTCTTACAGTATCCTGTCCGTCTCTTGTGTTTATTTATAGATAAACAGAGGTCATAAAAAGGTGTAGCATAATGATTTAATATTCAGTCGAAATTAGTATAAACAGATTTAATTGAAATCAGCAAAGAAATCTAAGGAATAATAACAAAATATATTGCAGCACAAGTACTTTCACTTTATTATGTTACTAAAAATAGATACTGACGCTGCGGAAATTGTTCATGCTTGGTCAACTTCTTGACACTTTTTTTATGCCCATCGCTTGAAATATCACTACTAACGTCTATCTCCAGATGTCGTTCTATAATTTTTATGAACTTATTCACAATTTTTGAGACCTATCACTAATAACAATATACTTTACCAAGGGATGGAGGTCTCTAAACTGGTATAATACCCAAAATTAAATCTCGTCGTCTTCGATATATAACTACTTCATATTCCATACAGGCATACACGAACCCACTATGCACAAAAGCTGACGCAAGACTGCGATTTATCAGCCAATCAACATTGACGCTTCCCTTCACTCCGAGCTTAATCTATTTTTAGATCAGGTGATTACCCCGCCGCGGAAATTTTATACAATTCAATTTAATTTTAAACACTGTTAACAGCAGCTTAGAGGAGAGCGAACTGTGTAAAATTAATGACCACAACTTTATGTTAAAATTTGTCTTCATATGAATTTTTTCCTAGGACGAATCATTTTGTATGTTAATATTATACTGTTATGTAGTCAACTTTTCAAGGTTTGGCGTCATAGCTATTTTTAGGTGAATACGTCAAAAATAAGACTTGTCGTCATATGCTAAAAATAGCGACAATTTGCGCGGACATTCCTATGTCAGTATCCGCACAGAAAAATAGTCCTACATTCCATTTGTTAAATATCTATTATCAATCAAAAAATCCAAGGAGTAAGGCAACCTTTCATCCAGTCTTGACATACTTTTATTGATAACAATAATTTCATAAACTGTCATCTATTACAAATATATAGATTATTTGGCGTAAGAAATTTTTGTCTCGGTGATGCGGCTAAATCCTATTGATAAATACGCCGACCAGCCGTACATTTCATCATTCAAAGCAATAGCGACGAATCAGATTTGAGAAGATAGAAGAGTGGGTGAAAAAACGGGTTACACCAACATACTACGAAGACACGAGATACTGACTTGACCATTGGTTCCTGGACACCGCCAAGATAGATACCTCTACGAGAAACTCCCTGATCCAGTCTTTAGAAGACGATTTATTCAATGACACAGGTTCACCATGTCCTAATGTTGGGGATATCCTAGAAACTCTAATGTATGACATGCCAGAGTTCGGTGAAGGTGAGAAGCCTGTCAAAGGAACATTTTTTATAGAATCTAAAGATAATACAGTTCATAGTTCATTTATTGAAGATACACTATTGCACGATCTTGATCCGTCTAACGAACTTGCTTTCGATTTATCAGGATATCTTTATACAGAGTCAAAAAATATTAAACTATTATCCTCAGATCAAACGATTGTCAGAATAAGTGAAGTTGGATCGACAGTTGGTCTACATAGTGATACATCAAGCTTTGTGACAACGTCCCTGGGTATGACCGATCTGCCTAAGTTCGAAGATTTTACAACTACCACCGCAGACGAAGGGTCTGTGTGGGATACCCTGACAGTGAAGTCCGAAGACATAGAACCTGATTTCGGTATCGAAGAAAGCTCATCAACCAGCTTCGGCGACCCCGCCTCTCCTACTGTCTCATCGTCGTCAACAACCCAGAGCAGCAGCAGTCGCCCAAAACCATACAGTAGGGGAAAGAGTAAGAAAGTGGTAGTGAAGGGAAGCGAAGAATATTCAGAGAAGAGATCAAGAAATAACGTTGCGGTAAGAAAAAGCCGCGCAAAGGCCAAAGAGCGACAAAAAACTACTGAAAGTCGAGTACAGGAGTTATCAACAGAGAACGATAGACTCCAGAAAAAAATAGATCTTTTAACCAAAGAACTCAACGTCCTTAAAGGGCTCTTTGTAAATGTTGGGGCAGCCTTACCAGAAAGTTTCACCAAATTATTCCAGTCGTGATCTACTCCCCGCGTGTAGTTTTTGTGATAGAACATATATACTGAAAGTGACAATCCTGCATAATGATTGTTATTCGTGGGTTCATCTTCATTCTTTAATGGCATTATATAATGAGTATGAGCATACGAACTATGAAGGCAATGATCTTAAAAACAAAAACAGTTGTGTGTCAAATTTAACTGGACGAAAACTGACATTGCTATGTGGAAATTCGACACCACCAGAACTCGATATTCATTTATCACCGTTATTTGCTCGTCATCTAGGAAATCGATATTCATATAATTATTGGAATAACAACATAGTGCTTTTATCCAGAACTGTGCCAAGTGACCCTTGTGGCAGCCATTGGACAATTAACCACAATCACCACAAATTATTAGATATATCATTATCATCATTATTATCATCATCATCATGTTGTTGTAGTGTATTTAAAAGTAGTTTATACTTTTATAGAAAATTTTCTATAGCAATTTTACAACCACTGAATTGTGTCAAATATTGGTGGTTGGATTTTAATTACACATTTTACTTAGATATTAGACATGTTATTGATATAAAATTTATAAAAGTACATTTCTATGTTGTTTTGTTATTGTTTGCCTGATATTCTTAATTCACAAGTAGTATCTATCAATTGTTTATATAGCTTTTATTGTTTACAATAACTGGTTCATAAACAAATATTGTTTATACTTTGAATATTAGTTATGTCATTAGAATCTGTGTAAATGGAGATTGACCAGTGGAATCAATGAGGCTTGGGGGGGATTGAGAATTTTTTGCAAAATGAATGTCCCCTTCTCTTTTCTACACTGCTAGTCCACTCCCATATGCATGTACTGTACGTTTGCATTAATGAAAATGAAAAAAAAAAAGAAAAAAAAGCATTATGCAGATATTAAGCCCGACACACCGCCGTTTAGATTATATGATATCTGATACACATTGTCAAATATAACGCCAGTCGATTAGCAGAAAATCGATGAACTCGTACTTCAGTCTACCTTTTATTAACGATTATTTTCTTCGTATCGCATTCATCATATCATATAATAGATACTGGGCATGGTGATATTTATGCAGGTGTCTTCGGACAATTAATAGGCTTAGGAACCTCGCATATAGTTAAAGGTAGAACGTATACTCAAAGTTTTTATGTGGGTTTAGCCATCGCAGTCGCCCAACCAAGAAACCAACCACCCCTACCTTCTAGATTTATTGATAAAGCCACTAGTTGTTGGAGACCCAGATAATATAATCTACCTGGCGACCAGTTAGCACAAATACCAGTCCGAAAGTCGGTCATCTATAATAGACACGTGTATATCGGTGTTGTCGTTTGTCTCCTGTTACTATCAAGTAACCATATCCGACAATGTTTCCAGCAAACGAACAGTATGAAACAAATTACCTCGCCATTGATGTTATTCTTATTAGCATTAATATATTTGACACAAATTCAATAAATGAATCTAATTAGAAGTTGAATACATTTTCAGTTCTTGCCAAAATAAATTGAAATGTACTTTTAACAAGCATGATGGGATCTACAAATTCAAGTATAAACACAGCCTGATATAAAGGTTAATATGTATTAAATGTATAACCTGTACTGTATGGTCACTTAATCTCCTAATAATATAGGATTTCATGGATATTGATATATAAGCCACACTATTCACTTAGACGGCCCGTATAACGCATGCACTTATAGACGGCCCGTATAACGCATGCACTTATACCATAATAAGTAAATACATTAGTATATTAAATACCCGTCATTACATGTATTTATTTATGACGGAACAATCAATAAATACATAAATGGCCTATAAAAATGTCACCAAAGGTTCAATTTTTTATCAAAAAAAAAAAAGAAAAAAAAAGATCCTCCAATCTAGAAATAAAACTAGGCATTGACTGGTGCATGTCCTACATATAAGCTGGGTAGGGCAAGGGCTAGGAGGTACATATACATAACCTCACGATAAGATAAGTCGGAAGTCCTCAAAAACTATTTCCCAATATATTTAGAATTACTAACGCTGTATTTTGTTAAAGTATTTCGACACGTACATTGCGCAACGAACAAAACACGTGGAAATAACCACTGGTGTTAGCGGTTTTTAACCAAACTTTATTAATTTATAAGTTCACGGATATGCACGCACGCAGATTTTTGTAAGTATCTATGTTTAAAAGTTACTTATTGATAGTAGTTTAGAGATTTTGGAATACTTACACATGAAGGAATATATAATAAGTATATATAAATCATCTAATGTTGCCCTTTAAGTTGAATCAAATTAAATTCTTGAATAATTCAATATAATGTGTTGATACGCTTTGCGAGTGGGAATCTGTCTAATTGATTTTTAATTTAAGGTCTACAAAGTTTAATATGGAGCCAATGTAACTCACTTTATGTTTTATTAAACGATATGTTATTCCTATAACCAAACTACAATTAGTAAAGAAACGTACTCCCTCTTGATACTTCGACTATAAAATTTCAGGTTATATAGATGCAATATTATCACGTTTCGAAATAGCATATTAGATTGAACACCTTATTTTTTTTTTATCTAAACCAAAGACATTTATCCCCTTTAATATGATAATTCGTATGTACAAATGTATACCAATTTTTATGTTCATATTGTAATTGTTAATTTAACTGTATTCCCTATTCTTGCTCAATATGTAAGATTATATTTCCTTATCACCTTCGCACTATATGCCCGAGAGGGTCAATATAATGTTCTCCGATCCCCAGATTTCCTCCCACAATGTAATTGTACCTGAATATTACCCCCTCCCCTTAATCGCTCTATTGCCACAGCAATAATACGAGTTTGGCTATCTGCTCTTTTTGGCTTTGGCTCAAAATTAATACACGCACTTGGGGCGAAAGGTCAGGGCTTTCAGTTACCCATCATAATGCCCGTATATTTAACCTATAACGCACGTGACATGCGAGTTTTGTTTGGCCGAAAATGCAGACCAGATTAGATTAAAAATGTACCGTGGATTTACTATTAAATGGTCTAAATCGGGACGCCGTCTACTGAGCTAAACATTAAGAAAATATGCAGGAATATGGGGAGCCCGTTCAAAAATACGATAGACTTATGAATTATGGAACTGCGCAATTGGAACACTGACATTACCAGGGCAGCGGCAGGATATTTGTTTTCTCTTGTTGAATTCAGTCACTCTTGCCAGTTTTGTCAGGCTGCAATAAAGCAAGACAGTATTTAAGAATACGTATTTTTCAAAATAAACGTCATTTGTCCGTGAGTAAATTTTCGGAGAAGCTAGGCCTGTTCATTAAATATTTCCAACAAGCTAGGCCTGTTCATTAAATATTTCCAACAAGATGTTTATTTGGGTTTGTTTGTTGTTAAGCAACATTTCACGAGGTTCAGAAAGTTTCCTTTCCAAAGAGCATATTTATTTTGGTCATAATGTTTTTACCATATACATTGCAAAAGATACCTAGAGTATTTCAAAACTGTCTCCAAAACTACTATAAAAGTCCCCGTATTGAAATAGCTCCCTTTGTTATTGTCGCTAGGAATGCGCAATATGCATGGCAACATCAATACCGTTGTATCTACTGTGAACGGAGCGATAGTAAAAGCCGTCGACCATCGAGTTAGTCATACCTAAGTTTGCGCAACGTATAGGTACCGTTATTACGAAATTACAATACATCGATTAAAGCATTATCAAGTACTAATCCTCACTGTGTGGGTGGTGTATTTAATCCCATATTGCGTTTTGAAAATTGAGGATTTAATAATAAATTACATCTGTATTATCTTAAATTTGACAGGCAAGCCTGTTTATATTATCTGGAAGTAACCATAGAAATAGAAATTATCACGTGTTTGACTCAAATTTGACGAGACCTTAAACCCCATCCCACTCCATAATGTTATCCGGATTAAAGATTTTATATTTCTGATAACCATCAGACGCAGTATACTCCCATGCGACCCCGGAAACATAATTTTACGCAGACAATATTTTACCGCCTCGACATGTTATATAAATGCAACAACTTTTTGCGATGTCCATCAAACACCTGAAACACTGTTAAAGCTTTAAACATAGCAAACATAACATTGCAGCTAAGTCTCCCGAAAGTTTGGCAATGTGATTTTCTACACGTTACAAGACACAAAGGGCAATGACCTATGTAACAATTATCGGGAATCGTTACAAAAGTATAAAGGATGCTTTCATGTCAATCAGATGATTACTTTATTCCAGAAACATGTTGAAAGTAACCAAACACAATAACTGAGAAAATGATGAAATAAAACACTGTGTATGAATTTCAGATTTATCAAATACTAACATTATAACCCGCATCCACAAGATTTTTTTTTGAAAGCGGTCAAAGGCAATTTCCCTGAAAGTAATAATCGTAAATAGTTGAAAATCATATAAATTTCAAAATGACATGAAAATGGATTCGCAGATCTAATTTTCTGTACCAAATGGGCTAATGAAAGCGGTCAAGGATTATTTTACATGCACGCCAACGTGTACACAGGGCCTCGTTTTGTTTCGTCCCACCAGAGCGACAAGAAACCGTTCCCTGCCCCTTGCCAGCCCTCGCCCCCTTCATGTATAACTGAAAACTGGCTGGACAACCCCGAGGCGCCTTTTCCACCATCACCAAGATTGCACCCGAGATCTGCGTTTGGTGAGACATGTTCTGTAAGGGGTGTTGTGCGGTCGGATGGTCTAACACGCCCGCTTCAGTTCACAAAGTCTGTCAGTTAGGTAACTAGTGTGGTTTCGATGCCATGCTTGTACGTGACAAGAAGTAGGACCGCCTGTACAACCTCGTGGACTTTCTGTGGTTCCTTTGTTCCCCCCCCCCCATCGGTAAAGTCCTCTACGCTAAAGCAAATGTTTGAAATAAAATTGTACAGTATATTAGTGCCCGAATTTACCTAGTTTGTGTCCCATGGGCGTTAAATCCCCTTTCCCATCTATCATGTACGACCCACATGCGCCTGTAACGAGGAAAATATTTCAAAAATAACATTAAGCTATGACTGAGTATAATGTCTAAAGTCTGTTATCAAATAACTGGTCTGATTCCAATTTTTAACTCTGGGGCAAATAACTCGTCTGACACCGATTCTCTTTCAGTAGCTATAATAATACCAAGGTTAGAATTAAATAATTGGGATCACAGTTCACCACGCTAGATTCCGTCAACCAGTGACAATACTCACTAAATTTCGCTAGGTAGACAATCGAGTCTACGATGACTTTTAAAAATTATCCACGTGACCCTCTTTAAGTCATCTATCTTGTACCACCTACCGTAATTGCCTTCTACTATCTATCGACACTGTCATCTATCTTGTACCACCTACCGTAATTGCCTTCTACTATCTATCGTCACTGTCATCTATCTTGTATCACCTACCGTAATTAACTTATAATGTCTATCTTTACTGTCAGCTATCTTGTGCCACCTATCTTGTGCCACCTATCGTAATTGTGGTCTACTTCTACCACCCACCGCAATTGCCTTCTAATATCTA